CCTCAGCGGGAATTTCACCCGGGAAGCCACTCCCCGCTGCACCCCCCCTCCCCGCTGCACCCCGCCTCCGCGGGCCCGGCCCCGCCCCACAGCCACCTCTCCACCTTCATACCTCACCCTGCCATGCTTCCCCAACCCCTTGCCATTTACCCTGCCGTGGTGAGCGGAGCCGGAGACATGGCGTCCCCGTTCATCCCTCAGTACCATCCGCTGCAGTTCTGCGAGCAAGGTGAGTAAACCTCTGATGTTATAGTTTTGATTTATTTAGTTTATTTTTTTTTATATATATAGTTTTTATAGTCACATATCACTGAATGTATAGGCTAATACACACCTAGGCCATGTGGTATAGGCTAATGCACACCTATGCTACATGGTATAGCCGACACACCTAGGCTATAGGGTACGGGCTAATGCACACCTAGGCTATAGGGTACGGGCTAATGCACACCTAGGCTATAGGGTACGGGCTAATGCACACCTAGGCCATGTGCTATTGGCTAAATAACATGCTGCCTCCCAAAATGGTCCTAGATACTTGATACGCACCATGGTATTAATCGGTATACCAAATTGACAATAGCCATGGAATTTCCGTGCTGTGGCAGAACAGCAAGCAACCGATAAAACCACACAGTTAATGTAAAGTGTTACCAACCATTTTACATGAATCGGTATTTTCTTAGTTTAAGCATAAGGAAATTAATTCCTCTCATGTTTAACCTGTAGACGCTGCCATTTTGTCGAGCGGAAGCCGTGTGTCCTGTGCTGATTGTGGTCTCTCTCCCCCCCCCCCCCATGACCCTGTACAGGACGAGCAGTTAGCAGCTGGTTGGATGAATTATTATTCTGCAAAATTTTTTTTTGCCTTCTGCAGATTCCCATTCCTCACATGCTCGTGCAGGATTTGTTCCCAGGGACGAAAGGACTAGCAAAACATACGAGCGTTTGCAAAAAAAGATCAAGGAGCGGCAAGGGGGTCCAAACAAGGACAAAAGCGGCAGCCCGCCGTCGTCCCCGCAGAAGAGCGCGGGCAGGACCTCCTGGCTGGACGGCCGGAACGGGACGGGAAAGGGACAGGAACCGGGAGCGGCCTCCGCGACGACCACTGCTGCAAAAGCAGGCAAGACTGGAGGCTGTGCTTACGCACAGCGCGGAGTTTTCTGGAAGCACATGTAGAGATGGAGCTGTAACTGTCTCTCTATTCAGAATGCCTTTAATAATATGCATGTGTGTAAAAACAGGTCAGCCTTCTAGTACTCGCCGTGCGTATAAAGCTCTAATCCTCCATCTGGGACACTTAATCGTCCATCTGGGTCTTTTTGTCCTTTCATTTTAGATTTTTCACTCAAATATATGACAAAATTGATTGGCACATGTGTTCGAAGTCTAGGAAGCCATATGTACAGAGCACAAGTTAGAAGCAGTTTTTTTTTTTGCTTTGCTTTTCACCTGAACTCCCCAGTGTGGCCAGTGCCCAGACACGCGTGCAAACGGAAATTTGGCCTCCGATAAATCTGACTGCAGGTCTGTCGCATAATCAGGAGAGCTTTGCCAGCCGTGATATGTAGGCTACACAATTGGATTGCAATTCGGGACAAAGCTGAACCCTGCCAAGTGCTGCAGGCTGGCTGTATGTGCTTCTGTACACAAAACATCGCTATTTTAGATGACCGACACAAAAAAAGAGGCTGTTGAGAGAATTCTTTCAGTAGAAATTAAGGTTATGAAGTTTTATAATATTCTTTTTAATCTTTTTATTATAAAACCACCTTCATCAAAGTCTCTAGTAACTCCCTTTCTGTATTAAAATAGGTTGCACAGCAGTCCTGTTCAATTAGACTAGCTTAGAAAGCTAAAAGAAGCCAGCATAGAATGTGGAAGAGGGGTTGTTGTTAATATTAATAATGATAATAACAATAATGTTCATGTAGTATAAAAGGTTAAAAGTAAGTCTTAAGCCCAACTCTAGCAAACAGCTTGCGGCTGTATAATTATTTAAATTTTTTTATTATTGTTTCTAGAACTCGATGAAAAATCCATGGCATTCCAAGTACTGTTGTCTGCTATCAGCAAACCAGTTGTGAGTATGGGGACAGTTGTTTTGTGTTTTTGTTTTGTGTGTGTGTGTGGTTGTGTGACCGCGTATACGTATCTTTCAGAAGTGTTTTCAGAATGCTCAGCTCACTGTGGAAGTATCATCTTTGCATTCCTCGAATCCACCATTTCTGAGATTTTAATGAAGCCACACAGTTTTCTTTTTGGAATAGTTGATAGATCCTGTGTTGTGGTGTGAGTACAGCCTCTGTCGCTGTGAGTGTCTGGCATTTTTAGCGACCTTTACCCTTGGGGGTGATGTCAGTGGCCATGTGGCCGATGGGGGATGATGGGGACGGACATTTCTGAAGGGGGAGAAGAATATAGAAAATGCCATGTCTGAGCTCTGAAGCACGAATTTGGCTGTTAATCTCTGACATCCCGTGAGAAATAGCAGCCTTACTGACAGCTACATGGATAAATGTCACCCTCAGATTGGATTGCAAATGCATGTAATTGAATCATGGATTTTCATTATTGTTTTTAAGCGTAGTCAGGGTGGGGTCACATTTACCTTTGCTGTGTTTTTTTTATTTTTAATTTTTTTTTATATGTATTTTTCAAGTCCTTGATTTATTTAAGTGTAGGCTGAATGAGTACTGGAAATATCTCACATGGTTGTAACCCTTGAAGAAGGCTAGGAAATTAACATTGTATGCTTAGGTTAGGGGCATGATTCTGATTTCTAGAGTGGTATTACAGAGCAAAGCATTGTGCATGTAACCTACCACCACACAGCTTGTATAGAGTATGGCTTATGGGACTTTTACTATCACAAAAATGCTCTGAGGGCAGAAGAAAATATGATTGGTTCAGAGAGAGAACCAATCAGATTGTAGAGGAGGTGGGCCCAAGCAACTAGAGGTGGTGGAACCAACCAGTCAGATGTCTTGATCTCGCCTCCTCTAGTTTCTTGGACCCACCTCCTGTACAATCTAATTGGTTATCTCCCTGTACCAATAATTTTTCCTTCTGCCTTCAGCACATTTTTGTTTAAAACCCTAACGAGCTGGAATATGACACATCCATGCTTTGTGATGATACCTTTCTGCAACTTGGGTGCCTCCTGGATTATTTGTGGGTCCTCTTTCAAGATCTTCTTATGTTGGGTTTCTGAAAGTCTTACTGTGTTGTATTAATATCACCCATCGTCTCAGTTGTATATAACTGTTTGCTTTTTTGTTCAGTACGTTTTTTTGTCTGTGTCTGATGTCACATACTCCCTTCTGCGTTTATGTATGACATACTTTGACTAAATACAACTATAGTTTGAAAATATACAACTTTAATTAATAAGTAATTAGGCTTAAATATGCCCTGGAGGGTACATACACCCCAAGGTTGAAAAAAAAACGGTTGGTTAAAGCAGTATGATTGGAATGTCCAGATAAACGTGACTCCCTCCTCACTCCAGGTGACGGACATTCAGGCCCGATCTGCCGTCCTCACGTGGAGCTCGCCTTTGGTGTCAGACAGCGGAGATGGAAATGGCGGGAGTGAGAATGACCCCCATGATCCGCTCAGCTATGAAGTTATGGTCTCTAATACTGGCAAGGACGAGAAGTACAAGACCGCCTACAGGTGGGTGTGGGTTTGCGTAATAGCGGCGTGTGGTTGCTGGTTATGTTCCAGCATTCTGAGCTACACTGACACTTCTGGCAGCTTTTTACGCTAAGCAGCGCTTACTGATACGATGCCGACCTCACAGAACTCTTGTTCTTAACCCGTATTTTGTGAATTTTCAGTGGTGAAGACTTGACTGTGACTTTAGAAGCCCTCAGACCAGCAACTGATTATCATGCAAGGTTTGGGATTTTTTTTTTATTAAGATTTTTCTTTATTTTATATTATTTTATATAAATATTGCATTTGCTTAGAATTAAAACATTTGTACTGTGGATGAAACTCTCCTGATTTTTGCTAAAAACTGTCTTATGAGTTTTTTTTATTTTATTAATTAATATTCTGTCATGCTTTAGTACTATTGAAATTGCCAGAGAGCAGAAGCAGCATGGTGTTTACTGGGGTTACTGGGGGGTATTGCTGGGTTACTGGATAAATATGTTTCGTATAAGTGAATAAAACAACAGTCAGCTGTGGAGAGCGGAGGGCTCTACGCTGTTTATGCCGGGGATAATGTGTGCTATGTGCCTGCCACCTTTCAGGGTGGGGGCACTCTGTGACCATTTACAGGGGTATCCCTCCGAGACTGTGAGCTTCACCACCCTCAGCTGTGAGCCGGACACCCCCGCTGCCCCCAGGAAGTCCAGCGGCAACAAAAACACCATCCTTCTTCAGTGGAAGGTAAGCTCCACGATATCCTTTCAGGTTGCAGAATTATATGATATCTCATTTTTTTGTTTGCTTATTTATTTGTTTTTATTTTAGGCTCCTTGTGATAATGGATCTAAAATACAGAATTACGTTCTGCAGTGGGATGAGGTACGTCAGTATTTATAGGATTTAAATAAGTGTCGTTTTTTTGGAAGATGACTAGTTTCATGACCAGTGGCTGCCCTTTCTATACATATTTGTTCTTAGTTTCAGTTACAGTTTGTGATAAATGTGGTATCATGTCAAGTAAATATACTAATGGAAAAAACATCTGTCCAGGCTTCGGTATGTACTGTGCCTATAAAGCATATAAACAGTATTTTTATTGCTTTTCTCCAGACAAGCTAATGGTAAGCCATAAAGAAAGGAAAAAATATATTTTTCAATTTTTATTACAAAATTTTATATTTATTGGCTAATTATTACATTGATTAAAAAATATAGTCCTGGGGCCTCTATCACAAAGGTGGATTTCTTGCTTAGCCGGATAACTTGTCGGATAGAAGGTACCCTAGTAGCCTAGATATCGCGTTGATGAATTATCTGTAGGAATTTCGGAGGCTTGTTTCATTCTTATAAAATAAAAAATGGCCGATCGTAACATTTTAACGGAATTTCACCTTACAAGTCTCAGCACTTTCGCAAATCGTTAAATCAAAATAACAGTTGGTATCGTACAGGGCAAGGGAAATGGCGAGTTTGAGCAATGCTACTACGGACCCCAGAAGCAGCATCGTGTGGCCAAGCTTTTACCGGCGTCCAAATATACGTTCCGTCTGGCTGCCAAGAATGACCTGGGGACAAGGTAGCTAATTACCGTATTCCGTTCTGGAGGTTCAGATGTCTAACGCACACCATCAGTTGGTGATTTTGCTTGTCTGTGTTTGACGCACCATCTTTTGCCGCTGACCCTCCACGGGTTTCTCCCCCGCCCTGCCCCCCCCCCCGCAGCGCATTCAGCGAGCCCATCAGCCTGTTCACCTCCTGCAGCGTGCCTGCCTCCCCACCCCGGCCAGCGCTCCTCAAGGCAGGAGTTACCTGGCTAACCCTGCAGTGGCAGCGGCCAGCCTCTTCGCCCAAGGATGACGACATCCTGTACACCCTGGAGATGGAGGATGATGGCTCAGTGAGTGTCCGCGTGCTCTTCTGCAAAGTCTCCAAGCCATCCTGAAGAAATAGTCCATACTTCTTCATATAACAAACTTTTACTTTTCCATTTCCCTTAACTAAGTAAAATGTATTTATATGACAGTGGCACAGTAGTTAGCACTGTTGCCTCACACCTCTGGGACCTGGGTTTGAGTCTCTGCCATGGGTCCGTGTGTGCATGTTCTCCCTGTGACGTCATGGGGATTCCTATGGGTGCTCTGGTTTGCCCCCATAGTCCAAAAACACACAGGTTCATTGGAATTGCCACAAATTGCCCGTAGGTGTGGGTGTGTGAGCGAATGGTGTGTGAGCGAATGGTGTGTGATGGGTTTGGCATCCCATCCAGGATTATTCCCTAATTTGCGCCCGTAGCCTCCAGGACAATCTCTGGACCACCCACGACCCCAAGCGGTTACAGAAAATGGATGAAAGGATAGATGACATGCAGTTTTATTTTATGTATTCTAATCCAATTACAAAATAATTTGCCAAGACTGCCTACACAAAATTTATGATGTACGTGTAATATTTTTTCATAGAACTGTGTACCGATTCACAGAATAAATGAAACAGGACGGAAGAGTAATTTGCAGCCATCACCGCTGAAGCTGTCTGTGTTCCTTAGTGTCTGTTGCTTTCTTTTTTTCCCAATGTATATAGGGTTATGGCTTCAAGCCGAAATATGACGGTGAAGAAGTTTCCTACACAATTAAGAACCTTTGTCGCAGTACAAAGTACAAGTTCCGGGTAAGAAGCCTGCATGTGCTTCTGTGCTGCCTTTGCCCTTCCTCAGACTTTCTTTATTGGAGCGTGGCTCAGCTTCAGAAAACGCAGGGGAAGGGATCTTCGTCAAGGTGCTGTAATTACACGGGTAGTGGGAGAGCGTAATAAGTGATGTTCTTGAACAGGTTTTAGCGCTTTGCTGGATTGTCTCAGCCCGAGTCTTGGGGACCTCCAGACACTCCAAGTTTTTGCTCCCTCCCAGCTCCCTGCCAGACACTCCACCTTTTTGCTCCCTCCCAAAAACATGGACTGGTTTATACGCTGTCTGTGTCTGTATCTCCCTCTTACATCATGTGGATGACGTTCCCTTTAATGTCCTCCCCAGGTAATTGCCTACAACACAGAAGGAAAGAGTGTTCCCAGTCAGGTGGCCGAATTTACTACGTGCCCCGACAGACCTGCTCGACCCGGCCAGCCTGCGCTGAAGGGAAGGCTGCACTCGCATAGCTTCAGATTGGCCTGGGGTGAGACCTTCTTGGAGTGATTGTTTAATGCTGGTACACCTGTATGATCTTCAGTAAAAGAAACCACTGTGCTTCTGGGAAGGGCTGGCAAGTATATGATATGCAAATCTGGTATTTATCACAGCACAAAATGATAGGGGGTCGCTCCCTATGCATTAAATGTCAAGTGTCCGGTTCCATAACTTACGAATGGCTCAGGTTCTATAAGTTAGGAATGGCTCAGGTTCCATAAGTTAGGAATGGCTCAGGTTCCATAAGTTAGGAATGGTTCTTGAGTAATAATACAAAACGTGCGGGGTGGTGTTCTTACAAAGTCAGTTTAACTATTCAAGAAAAATATCTGGAAGAAAAACAATTGTAGTCTGTATTGTACTGAACTGAATTGGGGGAACTAATTTCCTAAGTACAGTTAGCTGCTGTAAAATTTAATAATTAGCTTTGTTTGTACTGATCCTGCAACATCAAACACGTTCTCGTTCCAGAGGCCCCAAAAGATGATGGCGGTTCAGAAATTACGAAATACAGTGTGGAGATTTCGGAAGGCACGGGCGGTACGTTCTTATTTAAATATCTTCTATTTATTTTCTGTTCGAAGTGATGTAAGTATTAATGTTAAGTATGACAGCAGTGTGCATAACAATACAATCGCAACGCAGTATTAGCTTTGATATTTGATAAAAAAAAAAAAAAAAAAACTGTATTAAAGTGCATCTTAATTTAATTTTGGAAACTTAGTTGGCCTGTGTTTAATAATTTTCACCAGCTGTCTGTTATAAGAGGCTACGCTTAATAATAATTCTGCTACATTCCAAAGTGCTATGGGAATATGTTGTTACCTACAAATGGTTATTGAAAAGAATTTGATACAATATAAAGGAATAACTGTGGTCAGGGACTGTCCCTGGTTTCCCTATCTGGTGCTTTTTGTGCCTCTAATGAATCTACAAAAGTTACTAAGTAACATGTATTCCACGTGTGATCGCTATGCAATTCTTCAGCTGCGGCCTAATTAAAATTTTCATGGCGCTCTCCATGGAAACATTCTTCTTAGTGTCCTGACAGTGTTCTAGTTATTGACTATAACTCGGTCACCATTCTGCACTACTTATACGAACTTCCTGCAGTGATTTGTAGCCATACTATAAGCCTCTGAAATCTTTGAAGAATATATCCAAAGCCTTTAATAACCAGTGCAGGGGAGGGTCATGTGCCTGCTTGAATGCAGTGGTAGAAAAGAGGAACTGAGGGCAGAAGACTGATGCACAGTGTATTAGTGAGTCCCAGCCCAATCCTCGGAGACCCCTAGCCGGTCCATGTTTTTGCACCATCCCAGCTCCCTGCCAAACGGTCCATATTACTGCTAGGGAGCAAAAACATGGACCATCTAGAGGTCCTCAAGGAACAGCTTGAGAAGCTTTTAATTCTACTGTTTGCCTGATTTGTGCTTCAGAAGCGTCTTGGAAGACGGTGTACAGTGGATCAGCCCTGGAACACGTGTGTGAGGGTCTGAAGCCTGGGTGCACCTACCAGATCAGGGTGTGCTGCACCAGCAAAGGAGGCCAGAGCCCTGTGAGTCATTTGCATGCGTCACATGCATCATTCCTGTGACATGAACCTATATTGTATGTATGAGTCATCATTCATGTGTGAGCTTCTGACTTCCTTCAGATAGGGGTCACTGGAAATTCTTTTGCAACTAGTCATTCTACTTGTATTTGTGTTCTTGTATTCATGGGGGGGATAATGGGTTAACAGTGGATTTTTGTTTTTATTTATATATATCTATATATCTATATATATCTATAGATATAGATGGATAGATATAGATATATAGATAGAGATAGATATATATATATAGATAGATAGATAGATAGGGTCTGTCTGTCTTTCTCTCTCTCTCTCTCTCTTTCTTTTTTTCTTTCTTTCTTTCGCACTAAAGTTCTGAGATTATTTGTTTTTCCTGGCACAGGTATCCGAGGCTCTGCAGGTCCAGACCCTGCCTGTCGCCCCTGGACCTTGTCTTCCTCCCAGGGTGGCTGGAAAGCCGAAAGCCCGTGAGCTGCAGCTCCGCTGGGGTGAGCCTCCCGTACAGCACGTGCTGTCTGGATTTGAACATGATTCAGCAGCTCGTGTGTATATATATGAAAGGGGGCAGCTGAGTGGGCGGGGCTTTGTTCTCAGTCGCCCAGAGTGGAGGGGGGGAGTTTCTTCCTCTAGTCAAAAAAATATGTGGTGTCTCTAAATAGTCCACAGTTTGACAGCGTGGTTCCTGGGATGGATGGATGGATGGATGGATGGATGGAAATTTGCACAAAGTCTTTGTGTGTTTGTGCACTGGTTTGTGTGGGGTGATCAGGCAGGGAATCCGCTAGTCATGATCTGCCTGTCCTCACGGTCTTGCAGGACCCCCCCAGGTTGACGGGGGCAGTGCAGTGTCGTGCTACAGCCTTCAGATGGCATGCGTGCAGGCAGAGGAGTACAGGGAAGTGTACCAGGGCTGCGACCCGGACTGTACCGTGAGCGGCTTGCTGCCTGGCACTGCGTACAGCTTCAGAGTGCGAGCTGCCAACAAGGCCGGGGTGAGGCGCACAACTGCAGACAAAAATCCTTCTAAAGCAGCGTTTCTCGCCCAGTCCTCGGGGACCCCCAGAAAATCCACGTTTTTGCTCCCTCCCAGCTCCCTGTACCAGTCAAGAAACAGCATCCAATACCTGGTGCAGGTGTTCTGGGAGCTGGGACACAACAAAAATGTGGACATTATCAATTAATTATTAGTACATTAATTATATTGTCGTGTAACCCCATAAATGCTGCCGGTTATTAACTTGCTTTGTTTTCGTTTTCTTTGATTGATCAGCACGGGCCCTTGTCCGAGCAGTGTGACGTGACGACGTCGCCCGGGGCTCCTGAGCAATGTAAGGTGCTTCAGGTGGCCTGCAAGTCGCCCACGTGTGCTGTGATCCGGTGGGAGGTAAGGCCTCTGCCGAAATGCACTCGGCTTACGTCGGAGAAGCACGTAAAAAAAAACAAAAAAACGTAATGGTGCGAATTTAGCGTATAATCTGAGTGGGATGAGCCGTTGCTAAGTAGGGTCCTGCTTTCAGTAAAGGGGGAGGTTACGATGATTCCAAGGGCCCCTTGGAAGAACAGGGGCCCTAAAATTCGGAACATAATTGGACTGGTCTGGGGGCCCAGTATGATATGCTGTCATGCGGCCCGGAATCTCTAGCGGCACATTTAGCATTTCCAACCGGCTCTCTCTCCCGTCCGCAGGCGCCCCAGTGTAACGGCGCCCCCGTGGCAGAGTACCGGCTGGAGTGGGGGGCAGCTGAGGGTGGCATGCAGACCTGCTACTCGGGCCCCGCGCTGAGCCACGAGGTCAGGGGCCTGCAGCCAGCCACCTACTACTTCTGCAGAGTACAGGTGGGCGGCTTCATTCTATCCCATCTGCTGTTCAGGGCAGCAAGTGCAGCGCCTGGATAGCACTGTGTGAAAGGTCGTGCTCTTAGGCGCAGAAGTGACCTTTAGATGATCTTCATCTCGGCGTGGAATTATGTGTCAGCTTGTCCATTTCATAACCTCTGCTAAAGTCACCCCAATATTTGGGGCAATCGTCCAATACGCCCATGTAGTTCTCGACTTGGACCCACTAGCACACCTTGTGGGGTAATGAAGTATTGATTAGCCAATTTAATGAGTTAAATTGTGAAATTTAAGGAGTGCATAGAACGGGTGGGGTGCCCCTGAGCTTTGGGAACCAAAGCCGTGTTCATGGAACCATCCTGCAGGACATCAGTGGCTTTTTAGAAAACGGAAGGAATCCCTGCTAGTTTTTTAGTTACTATACCATTGCCTGTTCTAATGCTAAATTGTTTTTTTTCCTGAGCAAATACAGTTTCTACCAAGATAAGTAGCTTTAAACATTTTCCTTGCCTAAGACTTTTGCATTCTACTGTAGCCTATGTTCCGGTGTTTCTTGTAATGTTCCTTTCAGCTCAGGGATGTGTAAGGGTTTATCTATTTTCACCATTCTAAATTAACCGTTATTGTTTTACTCCAGTTACAGTGGTTATTTTTCTCAAGTCCAATGGTTCAGTGATGAAGATCAGCCATTTTAGTTTATTTTTCTTCATTTTAATTCTATGCTTTTTCTAGATTCCTCTGGGTTTCTGTATTTTAACATCTCAAAATCATCAGCGCTGGTGCTGTGGCGTCTGCTTTTGTCAGCTGCTCTGCGATTTTTTATTTTTTTTTAATTTAATACTTTTATTTTTAATTCCGAGCCCCACACTTGCGTCTCCTCTTGTGCACCACACGCATTACCAGAAGGTCGCCCTTAAACACGGCAGGACAGCGTCCGCTGAGAGTTGTGCTGACAGTTGACGTGCCCCCCCCCATGCTGTGTCCCGGTCTCATGCAGGCAGTGAACGCGGCGGGGGTGGGGCCTTTCTGCGAGGTGGCGACCTGCCAGACACCTTGCTCCGTGCCGGCAGCCGTGAGCAACATTCACGCGCTGGAGGACTCCGAGCTGAGAGAGGAGCTGGAAGCGGCGGGAGGCGATGAGGAGGACGGCGCCGAGCGGGACACGTCGTCCTCCTTCTGCCCTTCCTCCTGTCTTGGTCTGCGCTGGGATACCCCATGTGACCATGGAGCAGAGATCACCTCCTATTGCATTGACTTGGGAGACCGCCAACCCGTCATCGTGGGACCAGTCACACGCTACATCATACAGAATTTGCAGCCTGAGACCAGCTACAGGTGAGACACGAGAGCTACAACCTGCTGCCAGAACATCACAGTGCAGCAACACTTGCTGTTTGATCATTACACAATAGGACCATGTCTGGCCTTACAGCTACTGGCTTTTACAAGCTGACACAGTAAAGGCAGCACAAGTGCTCATTTCTACAAACACTTGCTCATTGATCGTTGATGTTCGTCGATCTGCATCATCCCCCAGCCTGTTGACTGCGAGCGTGTACATTTACTGTAAGTTACAGCCGATAATTGCGATCCTTTTTCCTCGGCCCAGGATACGAATTCAGGCCCTGAACAGTTTAGGCTCTGGACCCTTTAGCCACACAGTCCGGCTAAAAACCAAGGCCCTGCCCCCACTGCCCCCGCGACTGGAGTGTGCAGCCATCAGCCACCAGACCCTGAAGCTGCGCTGGGGAGACGGCTCTGCCAAAGGCAGCTCCGACGCCATACAGTACGAGCTTCAGATGGAAGACAAGAATGGAAGGTAGCCGGGGAAATGAAGAATTTGGCTGTTGTGTGAATGAAATACGACTGCTTACATCAAGCAGATCTCATGTCTGTACTAAGATCAGCAGTTTTAAATTCAATTTGAGTCATTTTTATATAGCGCCTTTCACAAGTCACCCCAAGGCTCTTTACATGGCTGTGTTGTGACACATTACAAAATCATCAATACAGAATAATACAAGAACAGGGAAAAGGGAGGAAAACGAAATAAAAGAAAGAAAGCCACACTATTAAACATTATTCTCAGAACAGCTGTTCTCAAAACAGTCAACAGTCTGTGCACCTTTATGGATCGACGCAATAAACCTAAACATTTATCATGTCTAGGAAACTTGATGGATGAACCTGGCTGGTTGTAATTCACTTTCTCTCCCTTCCATATGCTGGGAAGATTCGTGTCTTTGTATAAAGGGCCGTGCCACACACACAAGGTGCAGAGGCTGAATGAGGCTACCTCTTACGCACTCCGCATCCGCGCCTTAAACGAGGCAGGAGAAGGGCCCTTCTCAGATGTTTACACGTTCACCACCCCCCTTTCCCCTCCCGGCCCTCTGAAAGGTAAGGCCTCTCTCTCGGCCGTCTCTCTGTCCAAAATATAATCCCTATTTATTGCAGTTATTATAAAACCGATGTTTCCCCACCAGTAATGTCCAGGAAACTGCACGCTGTTGGTGAATGGTCATTAGAATTTTAAAAGTATGATTTCAGTTCTAACCAGAGTCCTGCTGTATATTCATATATAACTAAGCCTTTATAGCTGGTTGCAGTTAGTTATACTATAGAGTATTTTGTTTGTTGTGTTATGTTCCCCTAATAATAATAATCCCCTTTTCTTGCCCACACAGCTCCTCGAATCGACTGTCTGGATGACCATTCTTGTGACGTGAGCTGGGACCCTGTGCCGCCCATGAAAGGAGATTCTATCATTTATACGCTGCAGTGCATGATGGGAAACTCAGCGTTCAAGCAGGTATGGCACCGCACAATGCTCTGTGTTACTCAATTTACAAAAGTCTATTTTTAACTTTTTAATAAAATATAGACTCTTCTATCCAAATGCGAGCGAGCAGAATCAGCCAGTGCCTGGACTCATTGGGGATTAAGGCCCCTGCTCTGTGTCCCAGCAGTGAAATTCCTCTGACTCTGGGATTTGAACTGGCAAACCTCCAATCACAAGCCCAGCGTCCGAACCTATAGAGTCAAACACCACCCTGTAAAATTTATCTTTAGGGAAAAAAAAAATACTGCAGAAGATCAGATGTCATATTAGAAATAGTTCTGATTATGATTACATACCTCATTAATGTGCTGCTCTGCACGGCACAGACCATCTCTCCGTGTGCCAAGCATGCATGGCAGAACGCTACTATAAATGCAGTGATCCACAATACCAACAACAAAATGTTTAGTATTTTACTCCCTCTCCCCCAACTGATCAAAACACTGGTCTGGTGCACAACAATATGCTTAATGAAAATGTGTTTTGGTTAAAATCTAATTCCATAACCCCAGGAAGTACACGGTCTTTGTCTTTCCCCCTCTTCGTTGCTGCCCCGCCATCCTCTTTGTCTCCTCCTCCTCAGGTATATAAGGGTTCTGCCGCATCGTTCCGGCTCTCGGGCCTGCAGCAGAACACTGAGTACCGTTTCCGCGTCTGCGCCATCCGGCAGTGTCAAGCGCCGTCCGAGCTGAGCGGCCCCTACAGCTCCGCCGCCGTACTGTCCCTGCAGCGCAGTGAGACCGCGGCAGGCAGCATCACGAGCGGGGCGGGGCCCCGGGCCCCCGACGCAGAGCGGCCGAGGGCCAGCCTTACCGACGAGCAGTGTGCCGCCCTCATACTCCTGCTCTTCGCTGTCATCTCTATCCTTATTGCCTTTGTCATCCAGTACTTCGTCATCAAATAATTTACAGTCAGAATAAATTATTTTTTTAAGTTGTCATTCTAGTTTTTGGTGGTTTTATCTGCATACAAGACTTCGGAAGCTGAGATGGTTAACAGACCTGCAAAGAGCAGCGGAGGTCAAGCTTGGAGAGTCTCAGAGGGAACGAGAGCATTATATTTTTATACTGTCCTGTACCGTCTGGTTAAAAAAGGATTGCACTATGGGTTGTTTTTTGGAAGGATCGGCGCATTTTCATTTTCAGTACATTAGGTCTTTGGACCACATCCCTGCCTTTTTATGTGTACATGTATATTATGTTATAGTCATGTTTTTTCAGTTACCATTTTCTTTTTAGAATGCAGCAGAGTTTTATTCCGGTGATAATTAAGCACATACATCAAAATACAAGGTGAAGGTTAAGGGTGTGTGTGTGTGTAAGGGCATGTCCTCCAGTATGATGAAGGTAGTGTAGTACTACAGATCGAGTAGTAACTGTAGTGTTAACAAGAATTTACGGTATTATACTGCTGGTATTCTAAGTACTTTCCCATATTTGCATATCAGAGGGTGGAAAATAGCTTCGGGGTGGGGTGATGATCAGTATGTGGGCCCTGTAAGGATGAACAGGTGTTTGGGGGGGAAGCGTGCTTATTTTAACTGTACCCATACGTTTCAGCTTGGCAAAGAGGAGGTTATTTCTTGCGGAGATCTTTCTCGATTTGCATCTTTATGAAATGAGGGTGAATGCATGCTCTTCCCATGATGCGTTTCAGAGAACCAAAGCCCTACTTGTGAATTTTATAACTTAGCAAAAATGCAAAATCCTGAAACCGTCGGGTGTAATCCTTATTTTTTAGTCCAATTAAATGGACACTGATTGCCTCAGACCACTAATATTACTATTAAATTTAACACTAGTAAATTCTGTCTTTAATTCTTGGAACAGTAATTTTTCTTTTAAAAAAAAAAACTAAAACAATTAGCACTTTACTTTTTAATGTTCTTTCATGAAAATGTTTCTTTTTACAAGGAGTTTGCTTTTGCTTTTTCAGACACTTAAAATGGAATGAATCAATTGTCAGGTCATATTCACGGTCATTGTATTTGGATATGCATCTTACTGTTGCAGGTACTGCGTTGGAAATCTTGCAACAAATAATGTTTATCTGTTAGACACCTTGTAGTTGACTTTTCTTTGTCATAGTAAATCTCAAATTCCTATTTTTGATAGTAATGAAATGTAATTGCAACTTGTGCCATTTTACATCTGCTTTTATGGCTGTCTTCAATGCTGTGTATTGGGGAGTAAAATTAAATTCAACAAAAAAAGTAATTTTGATGTTTGCATTTACCTCACACACTACATTCCAAATGAAATCAAATTCTGGTATATAACCAAAACTTGAAACTGTACGCCATAATGTATAATCTCAAATATTGTATATATTAAAAGTGTAATTCAATAGCTATATCTACATATAGAACCATGAATAATAAAAGATAATCTTCTTATTGGGTCACTTTTTGTCTGTTTGAGCAGCCCTTATTTTTCTTTCATAGGTTTATGAATTGAAATGCCTGCTTTGTCGTTTACTTTTCCGGTCGTAAACAAAAACCGTACATTTTGACGTTTCCATCTTTCAGCATGGTGTACCATGCACATGGCTTTCAGCAGCCTTGGAGAAATTGACCTGACGCAAGTGCCCTCTATTCCATATCCAATCAGCTACATATAAAAAGGTTGTGACTTCTTCAGTTGATCATGAAATTAGAAAACCAGCAGAGAATTTGAACATTTCATCATGTGATGGTTACCTTCTGATTTAGAAATTAAATGTCAGCTGACTCATAACCTATCACTTCATTTCAGTGTCATTCTCAATGAACTTCACTAGCAAGACATTTCCAGAAAGGAGTACTTTTGCAAAAGCAAAGCAGTTATAAAGTAGGACTAACGGTAATAGGAAGAACTGCACAATTCATGCGTGACTTTTCCACATGTAGCAGGCCATGCAGGCCAAGGGGCAGGTGCTCGACTGGGGGTCCACGTTCAGCCCCCATTTTGTCTAGCGGACTTCTTGCACATTGCCTGTTGTAAACTGGTGCCTGCATAAATAGTTGTGATCCCAAACTTGCCTAGCAATGCAACTTCCTCCGCTACACGAAGCGATTTTTGAAGAGTGTTTTGGCAATTCAGCAGCTTAAATGCAGAACACAAAGCAGTAGCGAATCAGGCCGCGCTTACCTCATGGCTGATGCACGTCAAGCTCAATTAATATAAAAAAACTATACGGCCGACTGGGCAGGAGAAAGCGACGAAGTCTGGGCCAACTATGGTTTGTCTGACTGGTTAAGGTGGAGTTTTACATGTATATCCTCTGTGCTAAATTCATACACTTCAGTTTATTCAAACATGTATGTTTAGATGGAATAAATGCTGAAAATATGTAATGTCAGCTTCAACTTGGACCAGGGTTCAAGCCTCTGCCAGGGGTCTATATGTGTATATATGTATCTAAAAACAGCTGAGGCTAACTGGTGTTACTGAATTACCCGTATGTGTGCATGTGTGGATGAATGGTATGTGAAGGTCCCCTATCATCCATGGTTGTTCCTTGCCTTGTGCCCATATGCTCTGGACCCTGAATAGGATAAATGATTATGGATGGATGGCCAAGGAGTGGTGCAGTGACAAGGTCACAGCTCAGGGTCTAGGGTTCGAGTCCTGAGCCCTGGGTCATTCCCTGCCTTGTGCACATAGGCTCTGGAGCCCTTGTGACCCTAAATGGGATAAGTGGTTACAGGAAGGGGGGAAATGGATGGTCAAGCCTCAAAATCAGTGGTGGTAAAGGGAACTGCAAGATAATAGAAGAAATATTCATTTTTCCAGTGCCTTTTTGTATAATCATAATATAGTATCATTGTATAATCAAAACTGTTAAATGATTAGGTATGAAGGGGGTGAAATTAAGTTTCTCTTAAGTAAGCAGCTGGCTATTTACATCAAAATTAAAGCGTCCCTATAATCCCCGAGTTTCCCGAAAACAAGAAACACCTTTTAGAAAAACAAATCGGGCATGACCTTCACTACAGACATACATACAACAACATACATACAAAAGGTATTTATTAATCCAGAGAGACAAATTATTAATTTTTTTATTTTACCTCCCAGAGCGGTCATTAAGCGCACACACACAAGAGGAGACCACTTCTCTTCACATAAACATCTAAGGTTTTAATAATGAGCATTCAGTGTCCTTTGTGGAACCTTACTAATTATTAACACTGGGGGGGGGCACACAATCACAAACAAAGTAAAGACTGAATGAATGATTGAATGCATGGTGGGGGGGGGCGTCGTCATGGCCCTGGGGCTGCATTCGGATCTCTAGCACTGCCGTATAAAGTGCCTTGTATTAAAATCATAGAATCAACAATAAAAGGTGCTAGAGGGGCACTGGGACCCCCACCTTCACACAGGCCTGAATGTCTTTTAAAATGCAGTAAAAGTTACAAATGTAATTCACAGAATTTTCTATGAAAATTTCGGTAATGGCCTTTAAACATTTTTACTTGGCTATGATGCTTTTTATTGCTTGATACATTGCAAAACGTTCCTGTTTTTTTCTCTTTAAAGCTTTGTATTGTAGTTTAATGCTATTCAGTAAGCCTGAAAAAACAAAGTAAACCAAATTTATCTCAGAATTCAGAAAGATGAATAAGTCACCTCTTATAAAGGGTATTCTATTTGTAAAAAGCAAACAAGTAAAAAAAAAAAAAAAAAAAAAAAAAAAAAAAAAAACTTACAAATTGTAAAAAGATTGCCTGTTTCCACAGAAACAGCATGGTTCCCAAACGACATTCACGCTTCCTCCTTCTTGACTGCCTGTGCACTCTCTCTCAGCTTCTGCTCCTGCATCCGCGTTCGAGTGGAATCTGCATAGAAACTCAAATCTTCAATATCCACAAAAAGGTACCTTTTCAGCTGTGGATTCTATAGGCCTCAGAATTCGGAAACTTACTCATTTCTGCCAGCTTCTGTATCAGCTTGGACTCTCCACTAGATTTGCTGTTAAAATAAAGCAGTAATGAGGAACCTGAATAATCCCGTAAGGACCTGCATTATGGAACACCTAAGCCAAAATGACATCTCTGTATCTTGTGTGCGTTACTGTTTTGCCCGACAACCCACCTCCCATCCGCCTCATCCAGGCCATCGGTGTCGAATTTTAGCCTCTTGAGATGTTTGGGTGCAGAACCATCCTCAAAACTCCTCTTCAAAGACCAGTCACTACTGCTGACCATTTGGTTAATCTTCTGGAACTTATCTGAGGTCTGATGAAGCAAAAACATTAATCGTCCACAACTTACCCAAGGTCTAATAAGGTAAAAAATAAATACTTGTTGATACTCACCCCAAACGATTCCCCGATAGATACCAAGATTCTATGGGACATAAGGGGGAAAAACTACATTTAATCTCACAAAATGGCTTTTTGATTTTTCATCTTATGAATAGCTTTTTAAAAAAAAATACAAAATTTAAGGCAGTAATTTTGCTAAGGCAGTAGTTGGTACATAAGGTATTAGCTTTCATGTTTCCATGATAATATCTTTATATCAACCCTCATTCTGCCAGAGACACAGCTCTGAGGATGCAAGAACTCACTTGCTGCGTGGAGTCATGACGCTGGGAGACATCCTGTTCTTCAGAGGAGAGATGTAGACGTTGTTGCTGCCGGGGACCCGCAGCGGTGAGTTCGGGTACTTATACGGGCTGCAGGGGATTTGGGGGATCGGAGACAGGGTGGGCGGCTGGGAGAGCGATGTGAAAACAAAGATGTTTTACACAAAAACGAGAGGAAAACTATCACAGTATTAAAATTCACACATGTATTACCAGGTTATCAAGCCAAAACATCAAATATGTAGGAGGGGTTCAACAGAAGGTTTAATGCCATACAAATGTCACAGGCTGGTAAAACGGCCGGGAGGGGGTATTCTGGGAGGACTGACCAGTGTTTTCATGAGATGACCCAGTTATTGAAGATAATCCACAGACTTTGTAATCGTATCACTACGCAGAACACATTGCTGGGGTAGTCATGCTTGTATCTTCTGCACAGTGATACGATTGGGGTGTGAAGTTCGGTAAAAGAAAATAGTTCCTACATTAAACTGCTCACTACAAAGTCTGTGGATTATCTTGAGTAACCAGGTCATGATTTCCGGTAAGAGACATTGCTGTTGTATCTTCTGAAAGTATTTCTGGCGCTTTAATCACCACAGAAAGATGCCAGTCAGTCCCATTATATTCGAGAGAAGCCTGACATTTCCGCTGCCCATATCTCCACAACTGGGCAGCTCCCAGCAGAACAGCCTAGATGGACAGACAGCACTAAAGCCCCTATCATTTTCAGTATTGGGGTGAACTGCCCTTTTAAAACCTTACTGATGCACCTCCTAGTATTATTGCTCTCTGGCAGAAGGAAAAGCATCTTCATAACTCAATGACTTCTCCACAGAATCTCATTTAAAGGATACACACATGTATACAAACACACGCACTTCTTCCAAAGTTACAATAAAGGTTAAGAAACGCACACCATGCCATGTGGAGATCTTACCCGCGGAGAAGCATACTGTAAAATGTTAGTCTTCAGCTTCTGCATGAACACCAAGTTGTAGAAGACGATTATGGAGTCATACTGTCCTTCCCGAATCAACACTCGCTTGAACGTCTGCACAGAAATTAAGATTAGTTTTATTGATCCCAGGGGGAAATTCTGGTGCAAATAGCAACAAGAAGACAGTGGACAGACAAATATACTCAAAGTGCAAAACAGATAAGGTCCAGAGACGGCAAATAAACATAGTCCAGACAAATTTTAAAAGTGCACCGCAAGATGGGTCACAGGAAATACCTAGTTGTCTTGGTGCAAACATGCAGGGCTTATCACTTACTTCATGTAATGATTGAAACAGGTTTCAACACAAGCACAACATTTTGCTACCCATCCCAGCGATCAGCAAATACCCTACTCCACATCCTTACCTCCTGGCTAGTGTTGGGTAGGCTCTTGTATGCAGTGACAATAGTCTTAAAGCGCAAATCAATGTTTTTGACCTTGCAGATGGCATACATAGCCGACATCATCAACTGCAAAACAAGAACGGACCGTCATGGGGGTTTCGGTTAGGCAGACGTCGATTTATGCCCGCAGTCTGCATGCGTAGCTTCCAAACTGCAGCCGTTTTATATAGCATGAAAGGGTGTGTGTGCATGGAGCACCTGGTCTAGATGTCTGTCTTTCATCAGCTCATACTCGTACTGAAGAGTATGCTGCAGCAGTGTCCACATGACAGGCTCCAGGTCAGCCTGGTCCTTCAGCAACCGCGAGCAGAGCGTATTCAGTCTCAGGTACGCCAAGCGGTAAACTGCATGGGAATCGAAGAGGTGAAATGTCATATCGTGATTGTGAACATCTATATCACCATCAATACCAATATCATATGGAGGTACAGCCAAGACAAATGTTTGCTTGCAAAATTAATGGTTACAATGCACTATTTATAAACAAATTCCATCCAGGCATGAACCTGTTGGTGTAATTTACCATTATACCTGTTATGTTCCACAACTACTAGTACAAATATCGTGATATTTCTAGGCCATATTGCCCATAACAACCCTTTGAGAATGAGGGAGAAAGTTCTGCAATATGTGATCCATCCCATACTGCATATCGACAGCGGGAGAACTGAGTAGATGCCCGAAAACCTTGTAAAATCCCACAGTGAGAAAAGTTAAAATGAAGGACGGAACCTTTTCTGTAGAAGAGTGAAAGAGAGATGGACTTGGACTGGCTGGCGGACGGACAGGATGCTGGCAGAGACGGACTGGCGTGGAAATCTGGGGGCCCAATGCGGCTGCTAGGCCTCACTGGGGACAAGTACCTGTAGGTTTGGCCGGAAGTGAAGCCTGCTGTTCAGCACCAGAAGTTTACATCCGACTGCCTAGCAAAACTACTACAGCCACTTTGTACTGTCAAAACTGCCTGCAGCAGCAAAAACAGGCAAAGGAAAACTGTACGGACCCCAATGAAACCTGCACATGCAAACTGAAATTATCCACTAAACTTGCAAGGAAATTATCCACTTGTCCATGCAAGGAAGACCACATGACACGCCAAAGGTAAATACTTCACAGGGTAACGCTGACGGGCTAGTGCTTACAGATCTGCAGCCGTGTGGTTGTGCTGCAGAGGCTGGTTGAGCGTGGCTGATGGCTCGGCCTGCTCCACCAAACACTCTTCTTGTGACCGACGGAGGAGTTCAAACAGAGGAGAGTCCTACAGAGGGATGGAGTGCTAACGTTAAGGAAACAAACGAGACACACAAATCTGCAGTAACCGTGTCAACTTCACTTCCACGTGCGCCACCATTCCACACTACAGCCCGCGCATGCATGCATCACCTTGTATGGTACATTCGGTGTAATTAACACAATTACAGAAATGGTATATAAAATGATGATATAGTAAACATCAAAACCACATTATAACATTGATGGAACTTAACAGTAGACAGTGGAAAAGAATCAATCAATTACTGCCATAACTTGTCTTTTAAAATATAACTATAAAAGGATCAACTTTTCTGAGTTTTCAGCAGGAGATACTCTCCCTGAAGAAAAAATACAATAACGGCCAATAGACAAGGTATTTTCTCTGATGCCGGACCACTATTCCTGAACATAGTGGACGGCCCTGACTGACTGCCTGTCCCAAGGCACGAAGCCATTAGACGCAAGAGGGTCTCATTCACTCACCGATCTCCATGCAATCCTCTCCATCACCAAATGCTCACATCGCTCCAAATGCTTGATCATGTCTCTGCTCAGACTGGGCTCTGCCTTGATAAAACTTTCTATCACCTTGTAGAAATCAAAAGCAGACAGCTGGAAAACATCCAGAATCCAGGGGAAGGAGAGGTCGCTTTCTGTGCCGCCGCCGTCTCCGTCGCTGCATGCAGATCCGTTCTTAAAGGTGCTCCCTGCAAGCAAAACGGCACGAAATGTCACACAGCAAAACGCATTAGAAGCTTTAGGTCCTTCAACAGTTATTCAGAGATTACAGCAGGTAAAAAGTGACTCAAACTCCACATTTAAAAAAACAGGGTGTGTGTTATTAAGCTACACAAGGTGTACTTCCAGGACTGTATTATTTTTCTTTACATATTAATACACAGCATTCAAAGCATGAAGAGGACACAAAGAAAGCACTTCATTAAATGGCAGGTAGCAGGCATATACAGAAATGATAAACCACAGCAATTTGCCTATAGCTGCCACAACAAATGTGTTTAACTAAAACCAAAACATATAGCCCCAATCATTCCCATTTATGTGAATAAAAACCCCATAAACCATCTGAAGCACAGGGTCACACTGGACATGTCCCTTCTCCCAGTACTGATGATTCCTCAATACTGTTAATGGTTGTGAGACGTATCCTAGTTAAAACATCAGTCTGTAACAATAAGAAAACCTACATAATAGGGATAGGATAGCATTCAGAAGAGTACATAATTAATAAATATAAAAAAAAGAGCAAATGAGAGGACAAAACCTGGAACACTGAAAGCTAAATGGTTACTGATAGATAAATATAGCTGCACAACAGATTGGAGATTTAACTACTCAGGGGGGAAAAATACTAGAGATGCACCGATCTGATATTCGGATCGGTATCGGCACCGATATAGACCTTTTTGACGGATCAGGTATCGGTCCACGTCCTATACTTACTTTAGTTTTTGGCAATCTCTAAAAAGATAGATTTAACACGGAATAGGAGTTATTTGTACAATCAATCGCACGACAGCTCTTTCCCATTTTACATGTGCTTTTTGCGGCATTTAAATCGAACGCTAACGCTGGCCCTCGGTCTCTTTTGCTTCTCAGTGGGTGTAACTACAGTGACTTCCACCTGCTGTGACATCATGCACATACCCTTCGCAGTACGAGGAGCGTAAGATAAGATGTGACAATCTGGGAGTATTTAGGGGCTGCCGTCGCAACAAAGTGTATCTGAGCTGACGCCAATGGGAGAAAAACTGTTAAAATTTTAAGCATTCGCCACTTATGCATACTTGCTATGAAGATATTCATACTGAACTGCAAATGCCTCAAAAACGCTTAAAACAAGACGTACAGACGAGGTGGAACAGTACATTATGCATGTTTGTAGTAGCCTAATTAAATATTTTTTGTCATACATTTTTTCCATCTGTATTTACTAGCTTAAAATAATATTTTAAGTATAACAAAGTAAAAAGAGCTCTTGTATTGGAATCTGTATCGGTATCGGCAGTCGTATTGAATCGGATCGAAATTGAAAAAATGTGGATCGGCACATCCCTAAAAAATACAAGGTGTAAGTTGCACGCTATAAAAGGCTATTTCAAACATAACGAACCTCAATACACTGCAACCTAGCTGATGTCTGTGCTATACTCAGGTGGAAGTTTATTTACAGTACAGCAATACTGTGTTAGTCTTAAGATTTAATGCTAGTATTTCAAGTGAGACAGGACGTTTGCCATATGAACAGAGCGCTGACAAATTCAATCTCTCCCTCTCTCTCAAAAACCACGAATCACTATAACTGTATAGCATTTCAAATCCATTATCAGTGTATTGACTTCTGACAACCTGAACAATCAACTTGCATCTGCATGTATGCACAAACCAAATTTAATTTAGCTTTTTTTGGAGGGGGGGGGGGCGCTGTATAAAGTAAGACCCAAAAAATCCAAAATGCTGAAGAATGAAACAAAAGTGAAAGACTACTCACCACCATATGTTGCCATGACAACCTCCAGGGCACAAGCGAGGAGTGAAATGTGAAAGGCAGAGTTGTTCAAAAGTATACTGCAAAAACGACAAATAACGATCAGTGGGGTGGGGAAAAATATTGATATTGTGGTATATTCAAGTATATGAATATATTTTATACTTATTATATATTGTTTTTCCATATCCTATTATCATCGTGTAATGGTAACAAACAATAATGTTGCTGTGTACATTGTTTTTACAACACATCTGGTTCGATCGCACATCACTGAACGTGTCGTAAACACAGACCGAAGAGTCGAAACGGCATATAAATCGGGGTCTTGTGAATCAAAATACGGAAAGTTACTATACAGCGTTTTCTATCTCATTCCTATCAGATCCATATAGAATTTAATCTAATCGAATCGTTAGCTTGTGAATCTGAATAAAAATCAAATCGGGGTATCGGTGCCAATACCCAGCCCTATGGGTTAGTCTGTCTCACTAACGGTCAGAAAAAAACAGATCTAGAAAGCGGGAATTGCAGTTAGCCACCAGAACTCACCTGAAATTCTGCACAGACAACCTTTTTTCCTCCTACCAGAAGAGAGAAAGCACACACCAGCAGTAGCATGAAAACTGACCAAAAGATTATTCTTTTTTTTTTCCTTTTACTGTAGACTGATTTATTTCCCCATAAACTATTAGTAAGGGATTTTAAAAAGAAATCCTAAAACTGTCTTTGTATCATGTTTTATGTCTTTAAGAACTGAGACAAACTATTGATTCCAAGTCGGAAGTTCTGCCTCACCGACTTTAGCATTGATTCCATCACTCTGTAATACAGCCGGACACCAAGGGTAAATCTCTGTGGAATAAGACATGTAGGTAAAGCTTTACATTAACTGCACCTTCATAATGCATTCATAGAACATTTTGGCTACGTTCACACTGCCAGCCACATCGTTCAATTCCAATTTTTTGCTCAGATCTTGACGGTTCACATTCATAAGTACAAGTGACCTGTATCTCACTGTAATGTGAACGCATCGGTCCTCCGAAACGTCACGTATGCGCACATTGATACGTTTTTACACGGGTAAAAAGCTGGTCGTAAAATTGGCACGTTGTGCAGCCATGACCGCTGCACTGATTCGAGTCTTTTGCCTCCTTAAACTTTGACTTCAGGCTCTTTATTTTCCTTTGGCATTGTAGCCACGTTCGTGTCCGCGCTGTGCCATTTCTTTGGCAATTATTTCAAATACTACTCTATTACGATAGGTTCCTTCCAGTTTAGCTTGAACAGATTAATTTCCCCAAATATCAGTTAAATCCCCAACTTCTCCATCCTTCCACTGACTTATCGCAGCTCTCCTCCATTTTTACCTTCCCGCGCTGCCGGTGCAGGCTGATGATGTCAGCGCATCCGTATAAGCAAAGAGCCACATGAATTCCGATCTGAAAGTTCACATTCAGGTCACATGGCCGCGAATCGGATACGTATCAGATTTAGTACCACATATGAAAGTGGCACAAATCCGATTTGAAAAGATCAGATCTGTGTCACATTAAGGCAAAAAATATGATTTGAGTCACTTCAGCATGGCAGTGTGAACGTAGCCTTAGTGCACCTTCATAACGCATTCATCGAACAATCATACGCGACAAGTATACCTTAACATCCTAACATACCTTAAGTTTTATACATCAATAAGCATTATATGATAAACATTAGAATTGTGTAATCACGTTTAATAAAACATGTTTAACATATGATTACACAATTCTAATGTTTATCATAATGCTTATTATTGATGTATATTAAACCTAAAGTATGTTAGAATGTTAAGGTATAGTTACATGCTGCTTATGAATGTTCTATGAGTGCATTACGAAGGTGCAGTTAACGTAAAGTGTTACCAATTTTCATTTACACAAAAAACAAACAAACAAAGCCTGTACTTGAGAATAAGTGCATGCGGAAATGCAATCTTTAGGAATGGGCCATGTGAAGATCTGCCAGCTGTCAGCCTGGTTTCCACGCTTCAGTACCTGTGATCCGATTTCCATGCACCGCTGACCCATGGACTGAGCAAACTTCTGGCTGAAGAGCTGGCCCAGATGCTTCACTCGATTGGTGATCTCCTCTGACGGGTTCACTGTGCAGTTCTGAATAACCAGATACACAAAATCAACCACAACGGTTACAGGGGGGCAATGAACTGAACCACAAAACAAGAAACTTGTGGGGAAAGATAAGGAACTCAGATAAACATAATATTGAGAGAAAAAGGTTATGTAGACAGTTGAACATTCAGTGAGTATGACATACAGGGCAGCTGGGGAAAAAAAATATGGATTTTTAGGTGAACAAACAGTAAAGTCGGAAATCGGGAGGGAGGGAGGGAGAGAGAGATAGAGATAGAGAAGGTGACCTACTTTAAAAAACAATTCCAATACATCCGAGGGCTGGCTGCTGGCAGAGGAGAGAATGACCTTCAGCTGCTGGATGGAGGTCATGGCGGCTCTGTGGAGACACACATTCCAGCTCACTTTCCCCTCAGCAACCATGGTGACTGAACATGACTACAGGTAACCACATCACTCTCAGCATGAGAACAACTTTCCAGGATTTTAAAATCAGTGACCCTTTAAAGCAGGGTTTCCCAATCCGATCCTTGGGGACCCCAAGACAGTGCACAAGACAGGAGCAAAAACGTGGACCGTGTGGCAGGGAGCTGGGAGGGAGCAAAAACGTGGACCGTGTGGCAGGGAGCAAAAACGTGAACCGAGTGGCAGGGAGCAAAAACGTGAACAGAGTGGCAGGGAGCTGGGAGGGAGCAAAAACGTGAACCGTGTGGCAGGGAGCTGGGAGGGAGCAAAAACGTGAACCGTGTGGCAGGGAGCTGGGAGGGAGCAAAAACGTGGACCGTGTGGCAGGGAGCTGGGAGGGAGCAAAAACGTGGACCGTGTGGCAGGGAGCTGGGAGGGAGCAAAAACGTGGCCTGTGTGGCAGGGAGCTGGGAGGGAGCAAAAACGTGGACCGTCTGTGGGTCCCTGCAAACCAGGTTGAGAAACACTAAAATAAATGAGTTTAATAGAAAAAGCCAATTCAAGCAGAAGCAGATAATGAAACTATGCTGAAATGAGACTTTTACCCACCGGACAGGGGTCTGAGGTGGAATAAGAGCAGGCTGCTCCCCCGGTGAGCTCTTTTTGGGTGTTTTTTCCAACTGGGCTCTGAAAGAAAAGCAGGGATATACTGCTGACCTGGAGACTATGACGACTTCCTTTCTGATGTTAATTATAACACACAGAACACCATGACTTCAAGTTTCAAGAACTGTCAAGTATTAGCAGACAACCCTCCCTGAATGGCACGCTTACACTTCTGTCTTAACCATCTGAAGCGTTTCATCATTGTCCAAGAAGAGACGGGCGTCAAAGTCCTTATTTTTGAGGTAGAGTTCTTCATACTGCTTGCTAAGCTCATGCTCCTAAAATAAAAAACAGGTAATTGAAGGACTTCTTTGAAGGCAGAAAATACATCATTAGCACTTTGTATGAGGCTACATGCTCGTGGGTTAAGATACTCCATCCTGGAGGCTTCCAGAAAGAATCCCCCACTGTCACTGAGCACTGCATTAAGGGAGCGATTCAGTCTACAAATTTCCAAACCTTTGGAAGATCTTTGGAAGCAGAGAGTCCCATAGAATCAAGAAAGGCAGTGAAGCTGTTCAGATTGACATCCTTCACCTACGGAGGTACAACAGAAAGCTCAGTTATCGATAATGTGATGTCCCCAGTTTAAATCAAAAAACACCGCTAAGAAAATGGGTGGGTGGGGGGGGGAGAGTCACACTGGATTCCATGCCTTGGTTCATGCACTGGTTTTGGTAGCATTTTAAAAAGGCATTTTCAAATGAATCTGAATGAAATGCATTAGCATTAGTTAAACACTGAAACAGTGTTTAAAACTTTAGACTGATTATCTTCAGAGTTTGCAGCTTTTAATGTGTTGGGTAAAAGTCAAAGTCTTTATTTTTTGGTTTAGGAATTTTTGTGACTTACTGACCTTTTATGGCAAGACTTTTTTTTAAAAGCTGCAAACAGAACGGGGTCTCATTGTCAGGATTCTGTTGTTAACTCGTTCGGAAACACAGAAGGTCCTGAACAGTCCGGGTTAACACAGACAATCATACGGATAAAAGACAGCAGACATGCGTCTTCCTGACCTCATCGCCGCTGCAGGCGTTCTCTTTACAAAGGACCTCGATCAGGATGTTATCGACATCTGGAGGTCGGGGTTTGGCTCTACCCTGATTACGTCGCGACGTTCGAGTTGGGGGGCTCTGGGCGGCCCCACCACTGGCATTTTCTGTGCAAAAGAGGTAAAACGTATTCAAGGACTGAATCCTAAACGGAAATCAGCCACAATTAAAACTGGACAGATGCCTAAAAAGAAATGCTGATAACCAATAAAAATCTTTATTTCCGATGAGTTTTTGGGTGTCATACTATGTAATTGGGACTGAAACAGTATTAATAAGCTGGACGTCTTACTGTAGGGTTGCTGAAGAATTGCCGCAGGACAGCGTTTAATGTAGAAGGCCAGCACACAGAGAAGCAGCTGGAAGGAGATGACCAGGTCATCCTCCATCTGTAGCACTGATCCTATACGTCCAAAGAGAGCAGCAGATCAAAGCCTGCGGAAGCTGGTAGCAGGCAGCCCACTTAAGGGAGTGTTTCTGCCAGACAGTCCAAACTGGTGTTATACACTTAGATGTGTGCAGGGTCCACAGCCTGGTCTGCAGGGAACCCCGGACAGTCCACGTTTTTGCTTCCTCTCAGCTCCCAGCACATCTGATTCGGTGTTCCTGATTGGCTATGAGCTGGGAGGGAGCAAAAAAGTGGACTGTCCAGGGTTCTTCGTGGACTAGGTTGGGAAACACTGCTTTAAGTCCATGTGTCTCAGCCTGGTCCTCGAGGACCCCCCAGACGGTCCACGTTTTTGCTCCTCCCAGCTCACAAGAAAACCCGAATGGTGTAGGAATCCCCGAGTACCAGGCTGAGAAACACGGACTTCAAGTATGCACGCGTCTTGAAGTGTGTAACATCAGTTTGAGAAGTTTCTAATAAATCAGTTTGAAAGGGTTTCCTTGACTTTTAATTAATTTCTTAATCTCAGTATATAAAACACTGTGCATTCGGTTCATATGGAGCACAGATTTTATTATAATGACATTGGTATTTACTTTATGGGTATCCGGGATTGATTAAGTAGTATCAAAACTGGGTTCTATTTTGCTTTTGAAAACAAATACCGCCCCCCCCAAACTGTTAATCAACTTTTTAGTTTAGGTTTTTATGGAAGTATAATTAGAAACGAGTGTTCGAGTTTCTTTGACATATAGCACATCAACAAAAAGTTCAAAGGACTGCTTTAGTTCCTGCAGTTGTTGAACAAAACAAAGGAACGTGACACTCCTGAATCTGGACCGGCTACGGCACATCGGGTCAATGGAACAAGTGATCCATGGAGCGGAAAGCAACTCACAGTGCCTGTTTACTGCAGTGGTACTTTACTCAAAACCCACATTTATAGTAACAATTAACGCAGAAGTGGCCCTTGACGTTATACCACCAACTCACCTACAGCCAGCAGAAACAGCACCCAGCAGCTCCGCACAATCTCCTTGATTTCAACTCCATCCTTTTCCCTGGAGAAAGACAAAAACTTCAGGTACTACCAATTCAATGTAGCTACCATGAATAAGCAGGGGGGAAAAATCTTATTCAAGGATACAGTGCAATTTGGAACTCTAGGATAATGCAACTCAATGTAAGCTTTAACTACAAGTTCCATGTGAACTAATCATTCGGCCAAATGCACATTGAAATTTGTGGGGCAGCTTGCTAATAATCATATATCCATCTGTTTTCCAAAACCACTTGTCACTGGGGGTCCGGAGCCTATCTCAGAGGCTACAGGTGCAAGGCAGGAGACACGGACACGGACACACACACACACACACACACACTTACCTATGGGCAATTTGGTAACTCCAATTAGCCTCAGCATGTTTTGGACTGTGGATGGAAACTGGAGTATCCAGAGGAAACCACACAATAACACGTGGAGAACATGCAAACTCCACACATGGAACCCTGGTCCCAGAGGTATGAGGCGACAGTGCAAAACACTGCACCACCATGCCATCCCATAATCATACATATTTACTATAAAGAAATCACCAGTAATGTTGCATTGGTATGACTCAAGACACATACAATAAAGAATGACAGCTAAAATCTAAACACACTCAACACTCAATGAGTGTTAGAATTACTGCTGCTATTTGCTTAATGCAATAGCACTCGTCACAATAACTCGTGTACGGAAGGACGTAGTTTTCTTTTTTTCCTTTTGGACTTACTTGGAGATGTCAGTGAAGATCTTATCACATGTCCTAAAAGGATAAAATGAAAAATAAATTTATATTAAAACCCAGCGGCTACAGTTCTGTGTCTGGCAGGTTCATTGGAGGAAGCAGATTTTACAAATTCTGCATCTCAACTTCAGACACTTTGTAAGGACCTGTTTCACCTTTTCCCCTGGATCAAAGTGTCACCTTCTGGCACCTCATTCAGATACACCAGAAGACACCTAAACTAGGAACTGCTCCTAACTCTGGTTAAACCCCCAAGGTGACACAAGCCCTAAACCGACCATTAGTTCTTAGGGAAAAAAATAGGGATTCCAGACATAAAACAAAACTTATCTGATCTGTACACAAAGAAATCCATCAACATGTAAGATGAAGTGTTCCAAAAACAACTCAACACCTAAATATGTGCTGGACCAGAATATTTGAAATATATGGTCACCGACTACAGCAGCACTAAGCAAACGTAACAGATTTACCATCTAATATGAATTTATACAAAACATGCCTAGTTTGACTTCCAGGTTTGCTTTGACTGAAAATCTCAAAGCAGAAACATATAAGCATTGAGATTAACATAATTTAAATTAACTGTGCTTCTCAAAAGTAGTGTTCTTCCCTGGTGAATGAGCCAGATAAATCAGAAGAATTAGACACTCTACCATACTCCATAATCACTAGCATCTTGAGAAGGCAGCAAAAACAAAAATCAGCAACCACGCATACATAAGCGTTTAGAGCTCACCCATTTTAGCTGGATCAGAAGTATCAATGGAAATACCACAAGTAAAATGTTTAAGACCTTGTGGAAGGATAAATTGTATCTGCTTGAAGTAGCCTAATGTAACCAGCGCCTGCTCTACAAACGTATATCAATGCTTCTGCTACAAATGTATCATTATATGTATGGTGGAATAAGCAATGTGGGCAGCAGGTTCATCATGTGATCAGCAGAGGATTCTTGGGAAAGTAGGAGAACAGGGTGCAAAAACTATGGAAAATGAGGCATGGGATCAAAGGGAGCAGTATCTGTACTTGGTTAAATCTGTGTGGACTTCAGCAAAGCTAGCCTGTGTTTTAATGAGGACAGGATGAACCTAGGAAGGACAGAGAGGAGACTCCTTACAAGATAGAAAATGGCTATAGGAGAGTGTGGCTAGAAGCCTAGATATGCATCACCTATGTATGCATCTTTATCAAAGAATCTATAGCCCAGATACTTAGCAGCTGGTTAGGTTTTGAGACAAAACACACACTTGTAAGCAGTGTTATCACAAACATGAGGTTTGTTACATTATGCTGACTTAACACCACACCAACAACTAGGGCTACATTCATGGCGAGAGGATAAGGACATTAAAACACACTGAATTATCAAAAGGTAAAAACTTCATAAAGAACTAAATAATACAAACAGTTACAACTAGCTAAGATGATTAAGATTAGCTTTTGATAAAAAAAAAAAACTAAAGTCTCTGGGCTAGATTTTACTCATCCATGAAGTCTCTTATGCTCTAATCAGAAGGATCCGGAATCAATCAAAAGGTAATAAAGACACATATATCTACTGGGATATGGAAAGCAGAGCTAGAACTTCCTGATGAGTAAATAACCAAGAAAGGAAAAAAGAATATGAGCAAGGTCCCAAATGAAAGAAACACAGGAATGGCACCTGAATGTGCTCTTTTAGCTTTTGCCTGAAAGGTCTGGGCACCTCTGGCCAAGAACAGAGAAGCAAAGAACATAAACCATATGACACACTCAAGCACTGAGGCTAAGATCAGACACAGAAAAAAGCCCAAGGCTGAGAGTATTCAGCACCACTCTTACCTCTCAAACCTCTGGAAGAGCGCCTGCAACACGTCATATTTCTTCTCCAATCTACTCATGGCTGTATTGACTTTGGTGCTGATGGTGTCCATGTTCACATCCATCAGCTTTAACAGGTCAAACAACTGCTTCTGCCTGGACAGAAAAGGAACAATACCTACCTTAATATACTCACCAACCTATATGTGAATCAAATAAGCCAAACTAACTAAGGAAATAAGACATTTCCTGAACATATATAAGGTTGCCCATCTATTGTTCCATTATCTAAAGATTAGGAATGAAACATTTCATATATGTGCATTTATTTTAGCAGACGCTTCTATCTAAAGTGGGTTAGAACTGAGAAAATGTTACCCGGTCCCTGGAGGAAACAGGGTTAGGGACTTGGCTTGATTGGCTAAATTGGCACAGAGTCACACACACCCCTCGGAAGGTTTTTTCAAATATAAACCAGAGCCTTTTCTGAGCAACACTTACCTGAGATCAGCAGCCTTTAGGACATCCGTGATGGTGAAGGTCTGCATCCCCAAATCCGTGGCAGCAATAAACAGACATGCTGCCCAGTACTGCTTGCTGGTCTCCTACGTCAATTCATAAACATCCCAAACACCAATAAACCGATCATTCAGGTCTTTACGTCTAACATTTACATTAACTAATTCCCTTCCAATACAGATGACTATTTAAGACTATACAAAATATAGTACAGTCTATTCTTAGTTTAGGCATTGCAGAACTGAGCAGAATCGTAGGTTAAACAGAGTTCATGTTAGGTATGCATCTATAAATATCTATCTTCATCTTTAACTCAATTTGTTAAACTTCATTGCAGTTTCAGGACAGAATCAGGGTACATTTTCCTACGTTGTACTTGTAAAGCTGTGTGTGAGACAAATAAAGGCTCTTGAATCTTAAACAGCAAATGAACCGGCAATCCCTATAAAAGTTATCATAGAACAACTGACCTGCACGTCATCCATCGATGCCAGCATCATCTCCCATACTGACCAGGCACGATCACACACTAAATCCGTCACCTTCAGTTTCTTGCACAGAGTTACAAAGTCTGCATCCTTGTTTTTGTGTCTGCAGCAGATGAATAGGTGAAAACAATTAAAATCAGTGTTTCTCTGCGGGTGTCACTGGATACTGGGCGGGAATGTCACTGTGACCAAGATGTGGCATTAGTCTGATGCTGGCTAGAACGATTCTAGCCAAACTGGTAAATACAAGCTTGCAAACAATGAGGCCCAGACCTAACCTCACAACCTTAACCCCTAACTCTCTTAAAGAGAAACCAATAGCTACACTTGGAAATGAGCGGATTTTGCGATGCTGTTAAAAGCTGACGGTGATGAGGTGATAACCCCCCTGTAAACAACAGCTGTGTAATTCTCCTGTTTAAAAGGGCCACGTGCGACTAATTTTAAACTCCTCAACATGGTACGTCAGCCATGGATTGGCGAAAGTATTCAGAAAATCCAGTTGATTTCTTTGTGAGGTCTGGTACGTCCCTTATTAGAAACCTGACACAAATACACAAATACGACACATTTAAAAGAATTACTAGAATATACTACCTTAGAATGTGGCAGCAACTTGCGGACCGTTAACGTCGCCGAGATATTTAAGGCGGAAGCGACCTAGAACAAACTGCTAACTGGCTCTCACACAGCTAGTGGGTAATGTATGCTCCAAAATAAAGAGCACAGACAGTATTTCCCTATTTATACATCAAGCGGTCAATGAGCAACTCGCCATTTTTACTACAGCTTATCATATCTCTTAGCTAGTTTTAAGAATGTCAATATAACGTCGCGTAGGACAAACCAATAACCTAGACCGCAAAACAACGACTTGTTTTATTTTAACAGACCTTCTCTTGTACATGGACTCGACACTAATTCTGAATTAGTTCCTCAATTGCCAACATTTCTTGCTAATAAAGTTAACCGTTTCCTTTAAATAACAAACAAACAGATGCTTAAACATGACTTACCTATCTTCGCTGAACTCCAGATTCTCCTGCTTGACTGGAGACACCCTTCTGTTGTTGGTTTGCTTTATTTCCTTATTAAGCTGGATGCCGTTGCAACGTTTTTTAGGAGGCATATCGAGTTTGGCACTAAATATCTCTCTACCCGGTGTGTAAACACTTAAACGTCACTGTTCTGAATTCATGTAAAGCAGCGGATCTTGTCGTTATTATTGTTTTAAATCCCTATTTGGCCCAAGACCCATCACCTGTCTGTCGGTCTCTGCTAGTTTGGTGATTTCTTTGCTAGTGGCAATTGATTCGCTGATTCTTCCAAACCGCGGGAAACTACTGTAAACGACACATCCGCCAGGTAAACGTCACTTCCGGCATTCGCTACCCTGCGCTACTCACTGCTGAAATGGGTTGTGGAGAGTTTGGGCGGTTTGGATTGTAGTCTGTCTGGGCGGGGAAATGTCCCGTCCAAAATGGTGCAGAAAACAGCGGCACAGGAGCGTGTCCTTGAAATACCGTTACATCAGAATTGTTCAGGATAGCTAACAGATAACTTGTGGCTCTGGTGAACCTCACTCAGTCTAGCGTATTAGGAAGACGGAAAAATGTAGCTGAAGAAATGTGGTTAATGGATATTCACTTGTTGCAAGTCATTTTGGACAATAGTTTATTTTCTCTTGACCAAACTGTCTTTACTTCGGCAGACTTAAAATTGTTCACCTGAACGAAGGTTCACATAATTCCCTTGGGTGTCTTTTTTTCGTTTCGTTTTTTTTTATGATGCCTAGAAGATAAAGAAATCCTCAAGACTCAAATACGGTTACTTTAAAAATGGAAATAACCCAGTTTTAATACGATCGTTATTATCCTTAAAATGCATTACAAACATGTTCGCCCCCCTTAAATTTCATTCATGGCTTAATACCATCAATATTTAGTACATGGGTCCCATACTGAACTGAGTACAACATAACGAATGTACAGAATGATATAGGCAGGGATTGACATAACTGGTACGCAAGTACGCATTCACCTTTAAAAGCGATACTTGCGGCAATCGATTGTTGTAACAGCGTGAATGCGTACGCATTTTATGTGCATTTGCTCCAATATGACAAGAAATTACTGTGCATTTTAACATTTATATGCTAATTCGTACTTATAGAATATATAGGTATACAGGTTAAAATGCACGATAATTTCTTGTCATATCGGCGAAAATGCACATAAAAATACGTACGCATTTGCGATGTTACAACAGTCGATTGCCGCACGTATCGCTTTTAAAGGTGAATGCGTATTTGCGTACCAGTTATGTCAATCCCTGGTTAAAGGTATATTACAGTGTAACACTGAGACTTCTATTTAGAAAACTAGAAGCCGGAAATACTGTGATCCCTGTGACTGTTGTTCTCATAACGCGAGTATTTGAAGTATTTGAGTCTTTGGCGGTATGCATGCATACCTGATGTGTGTATGTGTATAATTATTTTAAAAATGCATATATATGTGAAACATATTTTACACACACACACACACACATTACATTTTTATTACATTTTTAAATGCCAAAAAAACTTTTAGATTAGATCTAGAGAATGACTTAAGCTACGTACAGCTATATAGTGATAATAACACCTTTGAATGCTTTCCTGTAAACAGTCAGAATTTTTTAACTTAATTTCCTTCTGCAAATCTACCGACCTTGGCAAACCAGTGCTTATGAAACTCCTGAAGAAGATTGCACCGCTGATTAGCAGTACACTGTTAAACTCATCTCTTAGGCTTGGATATGTTCTAAAACCTTTTAAAATTGCTGCTATTAGACCTGTTCTCAAGAAACCAATTCTTAAAACCAGTGATTTAGGAAATGATAGACAGATATCAAATCATCCTTTCATTTCAAAGATCCTAGAGAATGTTGTTGTTCATCAACTGTTTTCCGTTCTACAGAAACTAACTTCCAGATAAATCTTGGATTGATTACGAAATACTACTATTTAATTATGAAGTAATAAATCTTCCAGCAGATGTGTGAGATTCAGGCTCACTATCAATATTCAAGTCTAGACTAAAAACACACTACTTTAGTCTAGCCTGTAGGGACTCTAGTTCTAGCTCTAACTAACTGCTCATCCCCAGTTAGATCTGCAGTGTGAGGTGTAGAGCTGGGTGGGGATCTGTGCCACTGGCTTTGGATAAACTGAGAAGTCAGTGCTGTCACTCTAGCTTCACACCCCCTTGTGGAATTGGAGTGCTGACATTCAGGGACTCCCCATGCTGCGTTACCACTTGCCTTGCCCTCGTACTTATGCTGCCATAGCCACTTCTGCCAGAGCTTACATATATTGCACTAACCTAACTATGTACACTGCCTCAAGTGTCCCCTACTTTAGCTAATACTCTTTTTATTTCTCCTGCCTCTCCTGGGGCGTGTTGTCTCGAGACCCAGAAAATTAAGATATTCAGCCTATCCTCCTTCCTGCAAGACCTCACTACCTGTGACGTGCTTCTGGCCTGCCTGCCCTTGTCTCCGTGACGCCTCCACTACCTGTGGTGTCTTTCCGGCCTGCTCGCCCTTCAGCGTGTGACGTCTCTCCTTCCTTACCTGCTGCTGCTGTACCACTGTTCATCTTGCCACCAAAAGAAGCACCTGCATGCCGTCACCTGCCT